AGTATTGAGATCTTTTCGTGTGGTGCTCCACCAAGTGTTACAGTATGGAGTGCTCGTCTCCCAGGTTACAGGGTCGATTTAGCACTTTTCAGGTTTGTCTTAAGATTATACTTATACCTCTTCTGTTATTCGCCAGTGTTACTTTTACTAGGTGACTGTAAAGTAGCTTTAGCGATCTACTGTCGTCCATCCATGCGGGTAGCATGGCCAGACCAACGCAGTTGTTATGTATAATGGTAGCCTTGATGCTCCTACAGTTGGTGTCAGCGAGAATACTGGCATTTGTTCTCTTGTCTTCCCAACAAACTTTGAGGATGGAAAGTACACTACGTCGGTGAAAGTTTTCAAGTGCTTTGACGTGCCTCCTGTATGTTACCCATACCTCACTGCCATAAAGTATTACAGCAAGGTGGGTATGACCACTGCTCAATCTGCATGTAACTTTGTAGATAATTTCAGCTCCCTACAGCTGAAGACACGGGTACGGAGTCTGCCAAAGGCTTGGGGTGCACATCTGATCCGATGTTGAATCTCTTCATCAATTTCCGCAGTGATGGACAGGTGGGAGCCAAGGTACTGGAAGTGGGTAGCATTAGAGAAGGCAGTACCGTTAAATTAGATGGGTGGTGGTGTGGTTGAACCAGGGGCAGACAGAAAAAAATCTGAGTCTTACATGAAATCACCTCAAGATCGAAGTGTGCATACGCATCTGCGTAGGTGTTCAGGATCTCCTGTCAGTCGCGCTCAGTGTGAGCGATGAAGGAAAGGTCGTCTGCATGATTAGTGTGTAAGCGGTCAACACCTATGTTCCTGCCTCGAGTCGTTATATTGAAAATTCCCTACATCCGATACTGGATGTCCACCCTGCCAGCTAAGTTGGCACTGTCACGAGTATGTAAGCCAGCAAAGAAAATAAAACAAAAATAGATTTGTTTTACCCTGTTTGGGAGGAAAAGAGCTCAGACTGAGTGCCATTGTGCAGGACACTGTCGTTCATGCCATCGTGGTTGCCTCAAAATAGCAATGAATTTTGGTGGGCAGCCAAGACGAAGGAGGGTCTGCCAGAGGGCTTTCCTGTTGACTAAGTCGAGTGTCTTAGTAAGGTTAATGAAGACCATGTACAAGTCACGGCACTGTTCTCTGCACTTTTCCTGTATCTTGCGGGCAGCAAAGATCATGTGAGTGGTGCCACGTGATGGCCTAAAACCATATTGAGATTCTGGGGGGAAGGTTTCCGCCTCAGGAAGAAGCCTGTTAAAGAGGACTCGGGCGATAATCTCTCCAGCTATGGACAGCAGTGAGATACCACGGTAGTTGCCACAGTCTGACCAGTTTCCCTTGTTCTTATAAATATTAAGATCTTTGGAGATTTCCTCCTTCTCCCATATATTCCTTAGGAGAGAGTGGAGACGGCTGTTAAGCAGAGGTGCTCCTGCTTTATACACCTCGGCTGGAAATTCATCAGGCCCTGTGGCTTTCTTATTTTTCATCGGCAGTAGCTACCTCATCCGTGGATAGAGGATATCTGAAGTAGGTCAGCTCTGGGTGCTGAGGAACCTGCTGGGTAGTCAGGACATCTACATCGGTGTTTCAATTGAGCAGCAAATGGTAGTGTTCTTTACAGTGCTGACAAATGCCTTCTTTTTTTTAATTAAGTATTTACCGTCGAATGAGCGAAGGGGGGGCTAAGCCATGAGTTGTTAGGCCATATATTGCTTTAGCGGAACTGAAAAATTTGCACATCTGGTATTGATCAATATTTTTTTTGCATTTCACACCCTATATTTTTCCATAAATCGTTCATTAGTTTGCGTAGTTTTGCTGGACTGCTGGCTTCTTCTCGTGGAAGGGAACAGCTTTGGTCTGAGACTTAGGGTTGTTCTGCCCATCAGTGAGAGCAGCTCATTTGCTATTGATGAGTACTTTGATTTCCAGATAGTTTTCATCAAACGAACCCTGGTGTTTTCTTTGGATCTGGCTGAGGGTCTCGTTGCATATTTTGTGATGACAGCTTTGATGGGATTTTTCTTGTTTATTTTTGGGTTTTTCATCAGCAACCTCATTGAGCTGCTTTCTGATAGCATGTGCCACCACTGGATCTTCCAGTCACTTGTTGCCTTGGCCGTTTTGGGGCGACGTGAAGGGAGAGTTTGGCTCTGACGAGCCGATAAAATCTATGTCAACGTGGTCTAAGCTGCATATGGCGAAGGTGATGAGGACGTCTCGGTGATATCTTTCTCTGACAATGATGCAGTAAATGATGTGCCAATGTTTGGATCGTGGGTGTTGCCAAGAACCCTGGAACTTCTCTGCCTACCCAAACAAGGCGTTGGTGATAGTGGGGTTGTGTTCAGCACACTTGCTGAGGAGCTGTAGGATATTGGTATTACAATAGCCTCCTCCGTTTCTGTTGATGGTTCTTTGCCAGATGTCAGCGTGTCTGCCAACTCTGATATTGAAGTCAGCTAGGAGCACAACCTTATCTTCTCTGGGGATTGAGGTTAATACTCTGTCAAGGTCGACATAAAAGGTCTCCTTCATGTCACTAGTCAGTAAAGGCTAGTGCTACTTGTGAAAAGGGCTGTGCCCTTCTGAGGGCAGAGTTAGAGAGGACCAAGGAAGAAAACTTGAAACTAAAGGAAGAGACAGCGAGGATGAAGGAGGAAACGAGACAAGGAAAGCCTGTGTCTGACGAAAACTCAGGCGAATAGAAGGTTGTGAGGAGAGGGACGACCTTACTGGTGGTGAAAAAACCCACCAAGGATACGACAACAACAGCTAAGTGTACCAACCCTTTCAGTCCTTTGATAGACGAATTGGACATTAGTATAGGCAGGGACAAGGCTGACAAGGAAGGTAAGAAAACCTTAATTGTTGGCGACTCCCACGTACGGTACCTGGAAAGAGTTTTTTGTGGTATAAGATAAAAATAGGATGAGGGTGTGTTTGCCAGGAGCTGAGTTGAGCCATATAGTTGACAGGATGGACAATATCTTGTCTGGTAATGGGAACAAATCCAATGATATTGGCTGGTGTAGGAGTGAGGAGCGTATTAAGTCGAAAGGAGGGATCCCTATCATATGTGGTGTCCTGCCTAGAAGGCGAATTGGCAATGAATGGTTGTCAAGGGCAGTTGGTGTCAACGCCAGTGTTGACAGATATTGCAAGTCAATATCAGTCCCATTCATTGACAACTGGGACAACTTTTACAGCAGAAGGAACCTTTATGCTAGGGATGGGGTGTATCTTGCACGGACGGCACTAATGGCTGCTATACCGATGTTATACCTAGCCAGCTCTTTTGCCACAAGGGCGGTTCTTCTTTTAGGATGCTCAGTTGTACCAGTATCCAGAAGGGTCCTGCCATTCCATGCACTGACCATAAGAGGTTGCACTGTTTGTTTTTGTTTTGATATGTGATTATGATTGTGTTTTCGACTGCATAAAGATGACCTTACTGGGTGTGGTTGTCCAGTCAAGTTGGTTCTTTAAGCAGGCTATGTTTAAGGCACCTTTCCTATCCTCCTCCCCATGTGGGGTGAGCAGAGTGGCTCCTCGAAAGGGTTGCTCAGTCGCACTGTTGCCTAGATCCCAGTGCATTAACGACCATCTGATCTGTTCCGCCCATGTGAGTAGAGACTCCCGGCAGTCATCATTGCCTGTCCCCATCGCCACTCGTCCGTCGGCATAGGACTTTTGGGGGTATAGGGGTTTTGATGATGAGGAGTATGATAAGCTGGATGATGGCTGTGCGTGAGTTGATTTATGTGGTGAGGCAGGAGCGCAGGCTGCAACCACACATCTTGGCTCTCCCTTTTCCTGATTCAGTGGTGTAAGTGTTGTAACGACTTAGGAGAGCGAGAGTTGGAATGGACTGCCGATAGCCCAGTTTGTTGGGTTTCGCCTTAGTAGCCTATCCATCACGCATTGCCTTTGTCCTCCGGAGTCGTCGTTGGGTTCCCATGTTGGTCACCTCTTCCTCCTATACCGCCGTTGGGGCCTTGTGGAGCTCTGTAAGTACAGTATGTCTACTGCAGATTTTTCGTTCAGGGTTTACTCCCGTAGCCTTATACCTTCCAAGGTTAATCTGCAAGGCAGCGGGGCAATGGTTGGTAGGCGCCAGGCTGTGTCCGCATGCCAGTGGGCCTTTGCTCCGTCCCTCTGGGGCTAACTGCTGCTCGAGATCCCATTCTGGTCTAGCCTGGGCCCACGGGGCACCCAGGTATCGTGTTTTGCCACAAGGAGGCACAGCAGGAATCTTGGTGAAGAGGCTGTGTCCTGGTAGGAAAAGACCTGTGCAAGCTGCTTCCTGTTCGCCACGATGGCTACCCAGCGGCGGTAGCTGAAAGTGAGAGGAAACAAGCAGTGCTTGCACCTTAACACTAACATAATGCTGTCATACTAGACGCATTACACCACCCTGTGCACACACACACACACCACACACACACACACACACACACACACACCCACACACTGATCTCGCCAGATTATGGATACATGATCCCATTCTAACCGCACAAGAACGACTGAGCCAAATATTACATATCTTACCTTATCTCCCGCCCACAGTTAACTATCTCTCACTTTGTCTCTCCCGCCCACAGTTTACTATCTCTTCCGCCCACAGTCAAATATATCCCGTCCGCAGTTAACTATCTCTCCCGCCCATAGTTATCTTCCCCGCCCACGGTTAACTATCTCCCCAGCCCACAGTTAACTATCTCCCCCGCCCACAGTTAACTATCTCTCGCCCTATCTCTCCCGCCCATAGTTAACTATCTCTCACCCTATCTGTCCCGCCCACAGTTAACTATCTCTCCCGCCCACAGTTAACTATCTCTCCCTATCTCTCCCGCCCACAATTAACTATCTCACCCTATCTCTCCCGCCCACAGTTAACTATCTCATCCTATCTCTCCCGACCACAGTTAACTATATCTCCCGCCCACAGTTAACTATCTCTCCCGCCCACAGTTAACTATCTCTCCCGCCCACAGGAGACTTCAGCCTCAGGATCCAGCCAGTATTGCTGGACGATGACGCGTTATACCAGTGCCAAGTTAGTGCCAGTGACGGGGTGCCAGGCATCAGGTCTCACACGGCGCGCCTCACCGTCTATGTGCCCCCTGACCACCCCAGGGTTAAGCCCCCCGTGTTGAGGACCACCGCGGGGATGACCGTCACGCTGGAGTGTGAGAGTAGTGGAGGACGACCCCAGCCTGAGGTGAGTGATGAGCACGAGGTTGAGGTTCTTCTCTCTCTCTCTCTCTGTGTCTGTCTGTCTGTGTGTCTGTCTGTCTGTTTCTTTCTCTCTCTGTATGTGTCATGTGTCACTTTTTCTCTCACTGTCTCTTTGTGTCTGTCTTTCTCTCTTTGTTACTCAAGCTTTCTCACTGTCTATCTGTCAATGTCTGTCTGTCTGTCTGTCTGTCAAACCGTGACACGAGTACACTATTTATACCAGGTTATAAGTCACACACCCGAGGCTGCCTGCTGAGAGCGTTGTGCAATTATGAATTTATTTAATTTTTGTTTTAGTAAGTAAACGAGGATATTGTATTTCATGTGTAGACGAAGTGAAGGGAAAAATGTGGTAATTTGGTGCAGAACAAATTAAACACACACACACACACACCTACACACACACACACACACACACACACACACACACACACACACACACACAGACACACACACACACACCCACACACACACACACACACACACACATACACACACACACACACACACACACACACACACACACACACACCCACACACACACACAGACACACAGACACACACACACACACCCACACACAGACACACACACACACCTACACACACACACACACACCACACACACACACACACACACACACACACACACACACAGACACACACACACACCTACACACACAAACACACACACACACACACACACACACACACACACACACACACACACACACACCTACACACACACACACATACGCCTACACACACACACTGCTACAAATTTAATTGCAGTACTCAGAAAAAAGGATCTTATTTGAAATATGATATACAGCTGTGGCAGACAACGTACAGAATTAATATTTACAGATATATAAAATTGTCAGCTTAGTTACCTGACCCGTCTTTCGTGCAGGGAACAGGTTATAGTGCAAGGAAATCCCCTAGGCCACCCGCACCTCCCTACCAAATTTCAGCTCTATCCTCAAAACTGTGGAAATGCTTAAAGAACACACACATGCACACACACTCCTACTACTTACTACTTTGTTGTCACTCGGAATCGAGTATGACGATCATCCAGCTATGATACAATGATATGAGGTATTAGGGATGTCACCTAGGTTAGTGAGTTTTGAGGTGACTAAAGAGCCCGATACGGGACCCGCAGCGTCGTTCACATTCGTTGCGCATGTGGAGGGCTCAATCTACTGCGGGAGGGGCGGTGGCAGCGTCTTTCCGGCGTTAGCGCTTGTCTGCCTCGGTCAGCAGTCGAGCTAACTTGACAGTATTGACACCTTCTCGTGTGGTGCTCCTCCAAGAGTTACGATGTGGAGTAATCGACTCCCAGGTGAAGGAGTCGATTTGGCACTTTTTCAGGTTTATCTTAAGACTATCCTTGTATCTTTTCAATTGCCCGCCGGCGTTACGTTTACTATTCGTTAGGTGACTGTAAAGTAGCTGGTTTGGTAGTCTACTGTCGTCCTTGTGAGTAACATGGCCAGTCCAGCGTAGTTGTTCATGGTTATTGGTAGCCTCGATGCTCCTACAGTTGGTATCAGCAAGAACACACACACACACACACACACACACACACACACACACACACACACACACACACACATACACATACAGAGAGCTAGAATTTTATGGTGTGGGGTGAGACGGAGGGAGACTGTGAGATTAAACGTTGTCATTGTGTCCTTTGTCAGTAAGTCAATCAGAAAAGGCATTCATAGAGCTACCATACGCAGCTAAAGAAGTAAGATATGCATGTAACTTAAGCGTTAAGGTGTCGGGTATTGAAAGTTTGTAGATGTATGGGTGTAAATTATGTGTATATTTTAAATAATACTTGTTAAAATTGTCCTATCATGCTACACAGGTACCCTCACTGCACCTCCCGGCCCTATCATGCTACAGGTATCCTCACTGCACCTCCCGGCCCTATCATGCTACAGGTACCCTCACTGCACCTCCCGGCCCTATCATGCTACAGGTACCCTCACTGCACCTCCCGGCCCTATCATGCTACAGGTACCCTCACTGCACCTCCCGGCCCTATCATGCTACAGGTACCCCACTGCATATCATGTTATTGCCCCTACTGCACCTCCTGGCCCTATCATAACAGGTGTCCCATTGCACCCCCGGCCCTACATAACAGGTACCCTCACTGCACCCCCCGGCCCTATCATGTAACAGGTGGCCCATTGCACCCTCCGGCCCTATCATGCCACAGGTACCCTCACTGCACCCCCGGCCCTATCATGTAACAGATTAAAAACAGAAAAACAGTGTTAACTCTTAATTCCCCACTGCAGATTTTAGAACTTAAATCCGTTCCAGGGCTTGATAATTGTTCATTAGATTTTTATTCTACGATAACCAACCTGAGGTCTGTCTGTCGTGACCTGACTGAACGATAAAATGATATTCCACCGAGGGATGAGTTTATTCCCCCCTACACACAGCCGCACTAACACAGCTATGGCCAAAACAATAAAGAAATTGATGTGAAATGAAGAGTAAGTGGAATTGAGAAAGGAGAGAGAGAGAGAGATAAGAGATAAACACACACACATACATATATACACACACACACACACACACACACGAGAAAATTTCATTACAAAAAATATTGAAAAAGAATATGATGTGCAGGAAAGAGAGAGTCATAGAGAGAAAGAATAAAATTTAATTGAAAACCGAAAATTCACCTCGCGAAATAAGCCATTACAATTGACCTGATTCACGCCTATCATATTGTGTGTGTGTGTGCGCGCGCTGTGTGTGTGTGTGTGTGTGTGTGTGTGTGTGTGTGTGTGTGTGTGTGTGTGTGTGTGTGTGTGTGTGTGTGTGTGTTTTACCAGTCACCTACAATGTCATCAACTTTACATGTCTCCCCAACACTTCTACTGCTGCGGTCAATCAGTTCTTTACACGTACAGACAAGTCGAAGCCTCACTATCATGCCCTGTATTTCAGTACATCAAACGAAGCTGTATTATATGACTCCTAACATTAACGATACGAGGTGCTTGTACAGAAAGAGAGAGAGAGAGAGACTCGGTTTCTGACAAGGAGTGACATATTATACAAGGATAACGGCGTATCCATGGTTTTGTTTGGCCGCAGTGGGGGAAAAATGAACCCCTCGGGAGAAATATATCCATCAGTCAGGTCAGGAAAGGCGAGAATTAATCAGGTCAACTAAACAAACACACAGCCAAACACCCGCATTCATATTTATTAGTTTTCAATATACGTAACATTAAAAGTAATTGACATTTACCATGTTCATGAAACCTGCAGTAATATAAAGCTGAAAAAAAATATTACACTAAAATAAATGGACTTTTTTGTGGCAATGTGTCAAGGTTTGGTAGGTCAGTCGCCATTATTCCTAGTTGGGGTAAGTCTCTGGTGCTGGATATAACAAACTCACTGTCTATGACGGCCACTGCGATAGTTATTAGATATTAATGATGAAAGCTTTAATACTTAGCCGTCAGTGCAGATTTATTTCATGTTGCAATAAAAAATATATGATGTACCATGAATTTACAGTGTATAATGGCCGGTAATGTAAAATATCTGTGAAAAGCGTAAATACTCACATGTATATTTGAAGGGAATATTTACAGTAATGCCGACTCTCTGATCACACCAACAACACTCTGGCCTAAACGGTGCCTGATAATGTAAACCGCCTGTAACGTAGTGTTGGTTTATAACACTCGCTCTATAGACGAGTAATAACACAACATTATTATTATAGCGTCATGTATATTATAGAAAAAAACATATAAACAGGAATAATAAGCTGGAGCCGTGTTATTAAGCACTGGGCACTACCCTCTACCGTCCTGCTGGTAACCTGTTGATTGTTCACAGTATTCTGAACACGTCTGAACATTTCCAGAATAATCAAGGAAGCAATTAGTGTGTTTGTAGTGACGGGGAGAGACACAACCCGCTGGCAAGGTTTACATTCCTAAGGAGATGTGTATAATATATTCACCCTTAAGAGGTACGGTACATAGTCTTCCACAGTGGTAATTAATTTACAGTTAAGACCCGAGGCACCTTAATGTGTACAGCGTGTGTTTATACAAAGAGGAATTGGTTATACAACTTAATATCCATGGTTTGGTAGTAATAACATCTGAAGATAATTTACAACTTCTTACTAATACGGTAACATTTGATGATAATTTACAACCTCTTAAGTTAAAACATTTACAAAAAGTTTAGAATTCAGGAAAAGTTTTAATCCAGATCCCGTGCCTTCAGATGACACATGATCATTAAGAATGGTTAATACTTCACGGTGAGTACGAATACAATCTAAATACCATTTGTAAGTCAACAGAATCCCTACAAGCACGACACTGGTTCAGAGGCCCGGGGTTGTTGTAGTGGGGGACTGTGATACGTAGGATATATATATAGTTGTATCGGAAGTGTGTGGGGCCCTGGGGAGGTATGTGAGGCCCCGGGGAGGTGTGTGGGGCCCTGGGGAGGTGTGTGGGCCCTGGAGGAGGTGTGTGGGGCCATGGGGAGGTGTGTGGCGTCTTGGGGAGGTATGTGGCGTCCTAGGGAGGTGTGTGGGGCCCCGGGGAGGTATGTGGTTCCCTGAGGAAGGTGTGTGGCGCCCTGGGGAGGTGTGTGGTTCACTGGGAAAGGTGTGTGGCACCCTGGGAGAGGTGTGTGGCGCCCTGGGAGAGGTGTGCGGTTCCCTGGGAAAGGTGTGTGTGGTGTACTGGGGGGTGGCGGTTCCTGGGGAGGTGTGGGGCCTGGGGAGGTGTGTGGGCCCTGGCAGGGTGTGGTTCCCTGGGAAAGCTGTGTGGGGCCCTGGGGAGGTGTGGAGCCCTGGGGAGGTGTGTGGTTCCCTGGGAATGGTGTGTGGGGGCCCTGGGGAGGTGTGTGGCGCCCTGGGAGAGGTGTGTGGCACCCTGGGGGTGTGTGGTTCCCTGGGGAGGTGTG